TTTAGTAAGTTTCACATGTACCCTTGTAAGATGCACTGTAGGTGTGATCCCACTGATTACCCTCCCTCCACCCATCCTCCCCACTTCCCTCCCCTCCCTTTCCCCTTTCCCCATATTCTTGGGCTATAATTGGGTTATAGCTTTCATATGAAAGCTATAAATTTGTTTCATAGTAGGGTTCAGTACATTGGATACTTTTTCTTCCATTCTTGAGATACTTTGCTAAGAAGAATATATTCCAGCTTAAATATATATATATATTTTTTGAGACAGAGTTTCACTTTGTCACCCTGGTTAGAGCACTGTGGCGTCACAGCTCACATCAACCTCAAACTCTTGGGCTCTAGCGATTCTCTTGCCTCAGCCTCTCAAGTAGCTGGGACTACAGGGGCCTGCCACAATGCCCAGCTATTTTTATTTTTATTTATTTATTTTGTAGAGACAGAATCTCACTTTATTGCCTTTGGTAGAGTACCGTGGTGTCACACAGCTGACAGCAACCTCCAACTCTTGGGCTTAAATGACACTCTTGCCTCAATTTTTCTATTTTTTTGGTAGAGATGGGGGGGTCTCACTTTTGCTTAGGTTGGTCACAAACTTGTGAGCTCAAGCAGTCCACCTGCCTTGGCCTCCCAGAGTGCTAGGTTTACAGGTGTGAGCCACCACGCCCGGCCACTAGTATTGCAAAATTTTAGCCACTGATCATGACAGTGAAGAATTTTTCAATGAATTATATGCATATGCTTTATCTGATTGAGTGGTTTTGAAATATATTTTGTAATGATCTACGAATGTGATACTAGGCCACCAAAACAGCAAAAAAAAGTAATGAAAAAAAATAAAAATAAATGTAATGAAAAAAATAAAAAAAGAAATGTAATGAAATCTGATAGTGAAAATAATTTTGTTTTTAATTTTTTATATTTTTATTTTGTGAACATGACTTTGAAGATGAGGGGATTGAAAATGGCATCACACCAACCTTGAAGGATTATACAGGTGTTTCAGGGGTGACTGTGGAACATAGTGACCCACAGAGGATCCGTGAAGTGATGGATTTACTTTCTGATAATGTTTTTGATTTAGTTGCTTCTTAAACCAATTCATACCACCACCAAATGGAGTAATTTTATAAAAACTGTTAAAACTTTACTGCGGATGAAAATTACCACTAGTGATACAAAGAAATTTGTTGGCTTATTGATATTGATGGGACAAAAAAAAAAGTCACATTGGAGAGATATTGGTCAACTGACCCTTTGCCTGACACATCACTATTTCCTAAACCGTGACCAGAATGAGGTTTGAGCAAATTCTTACATTGTCCCATCTTAGTGATAATCCATAAACCACACCTAATGAAGACAGACTTTATAAAATTAGGCCTCTTTTTGACTATTTTATTATTTATTAGGAGTTATCCCTAGATGAAGCAGTGGCACCATATAGAGGATGTATCCATTTTGTTTCACTTTTTTTTTTTGTGAGACAGAGCCTCAAGCTGTCACCCTGGGTAGAGTGCTGTGGCATCACAGCTCACAGCAACCTCCAACTCCTGGGCTCAAGCGATTCTCCTGCCTCCACCTTCCAAGTAGCTGGGACCACAGGCGCCTATCACAACACCTGGCTATTTTTTGGTTGCAGTCATCATTGTTTGGCAGGTCCAGGTTGTATTTGAACCTGCCAGCTCAGGTGTATGTGGCTGGTGCCTTAGCTGCTTGAGCCACAGGCACTGAGCCTTGTTTCACTTTCTTATTCAATTATGGGGAAAAAAAAGAGAGAAAGAGAATTCATTTTACATCTCCTAAGAAAATGTCATTATATAAGAAAGGATGTTTTATTTATTTTTGAGACAGTGTCTTGCTCTGTTGCCCTGGCTAGAGTGCTATGGTGTTATCACAGCTCACAGCAACTTCAAACTCTTGGATTCAAGCTATCCTCCTGCCTCAGCCTCCTGAACACGTGGGACTACAGGCACCTGCCACAGTGCCCAGCTAGTTTTTCTATTTTTAGTAGAGATGGGTGTCTCACTTTGCCTGGGCTGGTCTCCAACTCCTGAGCTTAAGTAATTTTCTGCCTTGGCCTACCAGAGTTCTAGGATTATAGGTGTGAGCCAGCCATGGTGCCTTGCCAAGAAAGATTATTTAAAAAATTCACACACTTTTTAGAAAATAGTGGGGGAAAGACTTAAAAACATGCTATCATACCCTGTTGATTGCTATACCAGGGGTTGGGCTTTATTTATTTTTTTATCCTTTTTTTTTTTTTTTAACAGAGTCTCACTTTGTTGCCCTCGGTAGAGTGCCATGGCATCACAGCTCACAGCAACCTCCAGCTCTGGGGCTTAGGCAATTCTCAAACTATCCTCCTGCCTCAGCTTCTTGAATACCTGGAACTACAGGCGCCCACCACAACGCCTGGCTATTTTTTTGTTGCAGTTTGGTTGGGGCTGGGTTTGAACCCATCACCCTTGGTATATGGGGCCAGCACCCTACTCACTGAGCCACAGGCACCGCCCAAGGGGATGGGTTTTAGATATTCGTGGAAAATGCACCAAGACTAAAAACAATGAAAGGAAAAGGGAAAATGGTCTCTTAGGGGTTCTCTGGAGCAATGAAAGCATCTGGTTTCCATATTTACAGACTAGAGAACTTTCATGTTCACCAAGAATTTTTAGGATGAACAGTCAGCAGAGTAGTTATTAAAGAACATTTTATTCTGCTCATAGGTAACTGCTATCAGATATAGAAGTCTGTATTTGGAGGACAGAGGCAGTAGGAGGAGGACGAATTAGTAAAAGGCAGCAGAAGTTGAGGTTTAAAAATTGTTTATTTCCTCAGACATTTTACCAGGTTGATTTTTTTCTTTTTAACTTATATATATATGTATATTTTGAGAGGTAATGGAAGAACATGACTCACATTTGACAAAATATCCAGCATAATAACATCTACTATGTTCAATTACTTTTCTTACGTTGTTACTCCTTCCCTTTCTCAAAAAATTCTTAGCAACAACAAAATCCCCTTCACAAAATCTATTGCAACTACGTGTTTAACTTGAAAAACTGGTCCTTATATGATACCTAAACATTTTGGTTTTTGTATTTGGAATAAACTTTCTTTGTTAACAAGAATAAAATTGTTTTGGCAATAAAAAGTCTTTGTTATAAATAACTCATTATGGGTGGTGCCTGTGGCTCCGTGGGTAGGGAGCCAGTCCCACCCGTGTACCAAAGGTGGTGCGTTCGAACCTAGCCCCAGCCAAACTGCAACAAAAAATAGCCAGGCATTGTGATGGGTGCCTGTGGTCCCAACTACTCAGGAGGCTGAGGCAAGAAAATTGCCTAAGTCCAGGAGTTGGAGGTTGCTGTGAGCTGTGATGCCACAGTACTCCACTGAGGACAACGAAATGAGACTCTGTCCCTAAAAAAAAGTGATTATATATTATAAATAAGAACATTTTAGTATTTACTCATTTTATTGAATGTTTTGTAAAAAATTGCCTTTAAGGGGCTAGCAAGTAGGATGAGGGAAAAAATTGCCTTTAAATTCTATTCATTTCACGGAATAATTTTTTTTTGAGACCACCACAATGCCTGGCTAATCACTGAATAATTTTTTTATATTGTCTTGATCTCCATATGTTTTTAATCTGCTTGCTTGAAAAAGTACTTGTTTCTAGTCTTACTAATTCCTGACATTCATGGAATGGCAATAAACCATCTATAATACTATTAAGTGCCAGATTTTACTGAAACATAGGTACAATATTAGAGGTAATCATAAGTGGAGCCAAAAGTCAATTTGAAACTTAAAAAATTTCTTCAGTGTCCTCTATTGCCAAAAACAGTATTTTGACTTTGAGCAAAATGGTTGAAGGGAAAGTCTGCTAGAATAAAAATCCTAGACTTTTTTATTTTTTTTTGGAAACAGAGTCTCACTTTGTTGCCCTTAGGTGCTGTAGCATCACAGCTCACAGCAACCTCCAGCTCTTGGGCTTAGGCGATTCTCTTACCTCAGCCTCCTGAGTAAGTGGGACTACAGGTGCCCACCACAATACCTGGTTATTTTTTTGTTGTTTTTGCAGTTTGGCCAGGGCCATGTTTGAACCTGGCACCCTTGGTATATGGGGCTGGCACCCTACTGACTGAGCCATAGGTGCTGCCCAATCCCAGACTTTTATTTATTTTTTTTTACAACAGAGAAAGGGTTTATTCCACAAAGTGCTAAGTGGGGAGATAGGAGAGATCTCTCAAATCCACCTTCCTGAGAATTGGGGGGGACAAGTTTTTATTTATTTATTTTTCTTTTGAGACACGGTTTCTCTGTGTCACCCTCGGTAGAGTGCTATGGTGTCACAGCTCACAGCAGCAACCTCAAACTCCTTGGGTTTAAGCAATTCTCTTGCTTCAGCCTCCCAAGGAGCTGGGACTACAAACACTGCCACAACACCTGGCCGTTTTTTGGTTGCAGTTGTCATTGTTTAGCAGACCCAGGCTTGGCTCGAATCCATCAGCTTGGTGTATGTGGCTGGCGCCCTACTCACTAAGCTACGGGCATGGAGCAAAAGGAGGGACAAGTTTTTTGTTTTTTTGAAACAGAATCTCACTCTGGAGTCCTGACTAGAGTGCCATGGCATTATAGCTCACAGCAACCTCAAGTTCTTGGGTTTAAGCAATTCTCTTGCCTCAGTTTTTCTATTTTATAGTAGAAACAGGGTCTCCCTCTTGCTCAGGCTGGTTTGAACTGAACTCAGGCAATCCATCTGCCTCAGCCTCGTAGAGCGCTAGGATAAAAGGTGCGAGCCACTGTGCTTAAGACAGTTTGATGGGCAGAGAGGGTTAGGCAATCAGGGTCTGCTGACTGCCTGGTTTCAAAATCTCCATCATCCAGATTCAAGATTATTTCTTGGTGAGAAAAACAAATGAATGAACAAACAAAATCTCTAGTAGATAAAACAGATAATTGCCTGGAAGGCAAACAAAACAAAACTCTCTGTAATCTTGAATTTGGCTTTTATTTTAAAATATATTTAGCATAAACCTGTCATCGGTCAGAAAATAATAAAATACAAAGAAATGGAATATTTTCAAATACCTTTTAAGCTAGACAAAAATTAATGGGATAGCACAGACTCAAATTCTGGGCAACGGTCCCTAAAATTCAATTCAGTAAATACACATTTTGAAAGAAAAGCTCATTTCACATTTTCCAATGTACCGATATGTTTCTAAATGCCTTGGTTTCCTTTTAACTAATAGGTAAAGGTAAATTTAGTTGCTTCATTTCAAATTATCAGATTGTTTGGTAAAGATTACCATGCCCCTAAATTCTCAATGAGAATTATAAAAATATGAGCTCAAACAGTTACACTGTCCAAAACAGAAACATCTTAAGTGATACTTCTGGATAATTGTATAGATATTGCACTAAAATCTGTAATTCCATACCTGATGTTCATTTATATGGAAAGTTAATTTTCTTCTTTATGAAAAACTTTCTACAAATAAACTTAATGTTAACCTAATTATAATCACACTTCAAAATATAAAGGTGCAAACAGAAAGAAGAATAGTTTAATACTATAGTCAAATGTGAAAATAATAAAAAGTTGAAAAAATAATAGGATCTAAAATACTGATTACTAATTTTAGAATTTAAAATTTACTGTAAGTAGCTAATGGACATTAAAAGTTAACAAACCTTTGCAAATAATTTAGAAAAATGCTTTGTTTACATATGAAGCATGTGCACCGTCCCATCTATAAATTTCAGCTATGTTCCTACTCATTGTAAATATCTACCTGCAGTATAAACAATCCAGACAACGTACAAAATATATACCTTGTTCCTGTAACTTACAATGCACAGAAAAATACCTACAGAACAGGGACATGTTTATCCATTTCACCTTTTAACTTATTGGAAAGTTTTAGCTCATTCCACATTTCTTTCTAAATAAAAGCTAAAGAGTTAAAGGTGGTTTAACTCTATGCCTATTAGCATAACATATAACTTTTAAATAGTTGCCTGATTATATGTAACTTAAAGTTAGGGACTTATTTTTATGTCGCAGTAAACATGGCATTTCTTAATTTAGCAACAGAAAGGCACAATTAGCAAGCAATAAAATTCAGTACCTGAATTATTAAACAGATGTCCAAAACAGCTGCAAATAAAGTACATTCAAAACAGTCTATAGAACTTAAAAAAAAAAAAAAAGAATCCCAAAACAAATTTTTCTGAAAATTTGGTCCATTAAAAATGCCTCCTATGTTCAACATCATGGTAATATGAAAGTTGATGGCAGTGTAAGAAGAGGCAGTCAATCAACGTGTGCTGGCATCCGCGTTCTGGTCTAGTATTATGCAACTTGATTAGGAAATGGCTTCCATAGTCAATAAACATTAAATATATTTGTTAATAATAACATACCTGTATTTAGTTCAAATACACAGGCACAAGAGTTTGCATATTATTACTGATTTTATAATACACCCCCACAATTTAAAAAAACTTAGGTATATTATTTTATATATAACATATATTAGATATATTATTGTACATTATGTACCTTAATATATATTATATATAACTTGAATCCATAACAGCACAAAACTCCCAAAACATTACATGAACATTCTAAATGGATACTTATCATTTTCTCAGTATTGATAGTTCAGCTCACTTAAAACAATAACTGGGTGTGCAATGACAAAATGCACTGACTCTTATGAATTTACTTAAATAATTATTTAAGGTAAATTCCTGCAAAAGCCTAACTCTGATCTGGCTTTTACCTAGAATATATTTTTTAAATATCAGTAACTGATACCTTCCTTTCTTTTCATAAACAATGTTTATCCATCAAGAAATACCGATAAAGAAAAATATGTAAGGAACCAAAAATGTGATGGAAAAACCAACCATTCCATAGGTAATATACCGGTAAGGGAGTTCAACTTCCATGTGCTGTCTGGCTCTGCGAATATCGTCACACGGTATACTGAAGATTTTACAGGCTAAAGGAATGGTGATCTTTTTCATTGTATCTCTGACTACTAGGATAAATAGCATCCCTAAGAAGATCCGCAATATGGCTTTTCCAAACAGAGTCAGAGTAATAGGGGGCCAAGCTAAAGGTAATATGTCTAGAGAAGGGTCCAGCATTAGACCCATGTTGTAAGTAACATGAGATCCACATGCAATTCCAGCACCACTTCCTAGGATCTCAGCAGTGTCGCCTCGGGATGTGCTCCAGGTGTCCAGAGTAAAAGAAAAGATCCCCAAAGCTAAATGAAGCCCAATGATGATTAATGGAGCGTATTTGTGAGTTTGGTTGAAGTTGTCAATCAGGTCCACAAATGGATAGAAGACAGCTAAGATTAAAATGGTATATAGGAATCCAGCAATGATATCCTGGGAAAAGATAAAAGTATAGTCGTTTTATACTAAACATTTTTGGCATTTAAAACATAATGTATATTTTAAAATGACGTATATTTGACACTTCAGATATTCAATAGATCTAAATTCTTAAAAGCTGTCAAATTCTTAAAGTAAACTTTACTAACTGACCATGTAATAGGCACTGAAAATTACTTAATAAAAATATTTATTGATAATAAAAGATTATATTTTCATAGTACTACCCTTTTCTAAGCTACATATATAACATATATAAATGTATATTCAAATCCTGAACAATTATCTATGATTAAATCGTGCAGTTTTGATTTCTGGGAAAAAGAATATAATAATAATGATTTTTTTTTTTTTTGAGACAGAGCCTCAAGCTGTCCCCCTGGGTAGAGTGCCAT